TCTGAAATATATGAAAGTTTCATTTTTATCATTACATTATGGAAAATAATGACCTTTATCACAATATGCTAATTTTTTGAGAAGGACCTGTATATCTGATTATGTGTACACAACCAATGGAAAAAGTCTAGTTAACTAGCAGTATATTTTACTAGTCCTGCTTAATTTAATGCTGGTCAGGTGACCCTTGGTGGGTTTAAAGGATGGCGAGCTAGTGAAATTTGGCTGGGAGCCAGAAGAACCTACAATCCCTCCATACTGGTCTGGTAGGAGGCTGTTACAGTCTGTGCTTTTTTCCCCTCAATCTCCCCATACTGACACACAAACATCATTATTCATCCCTTCTCCGTTGTGAACAACTTGCGCATGGACATTTTTCTTTGGATAGTTGAATAAATAAAATCATGGACTCTTTGTTCAATGTGTGTCAGTTGGAAAATGTACTGACCAGTACCATTTATTGATAGGAAGATTATGACTTTTTTTTTTGCATTTTCAACAAACCTTGTGCACAGCAACCTTTTTTTTTCATTCATTCAACCTTTATTTGAACAGATAAATCACATTGAACCTCGAAGACTCATTTACATGTGAGACCTGTGTAGTGAACTAAGCCTCAGGTCAAATCTGGCCCTGAGGGCCTTCCTGGGACAAGAACTGTTATCTCATTGATTTGAGTCCAGAAACACAAAATTAAGTTCATCCAGAGACTTTCTAAGTGTGTCCTGCACTGATCAATTGAAAGAACACTCTCTTTTTTATTATCATTACTATTTTACAAATGTCTTGATAATCAAAAGTGTGTTTAGTTCAAACCATTTTTAAATGTTGAAGTGAACTACTTATTTTAAATCAACTGTGAAACAGTATTAATGATTTTTAATCCTCATTCAAAGTAGAAATCAAGTTAATGTTTGTTACAAGAGTAATTATGCATTTTGATTTTCTGTCTGAAATGAGCAAGTGTAAGTCGGTCAAAAGTCAAGTTTCGGTCAACTACATGTTTACTGGAAAGAAATGTCATGTTTAACTTTTTCAGACAGATAGAAGTAGAACTGGCACCCAAAAGTCTCGGTTTCTTCAAAACATCTTCTGTCTGTTCTTAAACAATCTAATCTTTTTCCTTGACTTTCAATAACCTCTTACATCACTAAGACCGCACCTTGTTGGTTCGTTTCGACCAATCAGGAAGTTCTCAGAGGAACCGGAAGTGACCTCTTTAAAAGGTTCAACACTTCCTAGTTCCACAGAGAATGCAGAGGGCTGAGAGTTAGTTCCGAGAGCAGCAGAGTTCAGAATGCTGGAATGCAGAATGCTGGAGAACAACGGCAACTAAGCTGAACAACGTTCCAGGGAGGACCTCGAACGAGAAGTCCCTGAACGAGAGAAGTTCAGAGGAACTATGAAGAAGTCTGTTCTGGGATAATCTCACGACTCCTGAGGTTTTAGCTGTTCTTACGGAGACGCTGAAAGAGTTGATAGGAAACTCTACACCGACGCCGAAAACTATCATCTGCAAAGGTAAAGAGTCGATCTCAACCAAAGTGTACCGTGGGTTAAGCTGATTTCCAAAGGAGCGTGTTGTCGTTCTGGTCTACAGACCTACATCTTATACAGACACATACATCTTCACCCATCTCTCTCCATTTAAACTTCATTTTCCCATCTTTAAAACTCTTCTATCTGCCAGTAATTAATCCAGATATTTTCAGAAATGTCTGTTGTAAAGCTTGAAGCTGGAATACCATGGCCGTATGGTTTCTGATTGTAAAGCTAATTAATTAAGCTGTTGTTGAAATCTATTTGCCAAATTAATGTAAATGTTTGATGTTAAACTTTGATTCTGTTACTAAATGACCGCATTCATTGTGAAGGGTCAAAGAAAATTAACGTCTCACGTTACATTTAATCATTCAATGCACGATAGAACTCAGTCCAGAAAAATGAAAAAATCCGTTTAATTTATGGATAATGTAGTGAGTCACGTGGGTATGTGTCACTTGTTGTATGACAAATATATGTGGTATATATTTATGCATACTTTTCACGAGTTCTTCATTTTTCTGACTGTGTAATGCCGTGCATTGAATTTAACAGAAATGTAACGAGAGACGTTATTACCTTTGACCCATCAAATGAATGGA